TAATATAGCTGCAGCATGGCTCTACCTTCTGAGTAGGCGCCTCTCTCTTACCTATCAGTTTTCTGTACTCGTATCTTAGCAGCAATGCATCACTCTGTGTTCCGGGTCAAGGCATAAAGATATGAAAAACCATTTTGTAACCTTTTTTAAGGTGAGAATCATAATAAATCCTCCTTTGTCATAATAAATTAAAAGCTTTATTCATTTCGGAAAACTTCGGCCGTCTTAATACATAACATGTTTTTTTGTAATTATTAACGTGTTTTTTTTTTTAATTATATCATTCAGTTCTTCGAGATGTGCATTTTGAAATATCAGACAGTGCTGCAGCAATTACGAAACCACTAATGTTTTTGAACTGTTGCTAATTAACAATTTTTATAATATTTTCTCAATGACATAACAGTGTAGATAAAACTTTGAAATTAATAAATCATTAAAACTTATTGTAACTGCCATTTAAAATGAATTTACTTACTTTACATAATTATTTTTCAATGAGGCAATGCATTTAATAGCACCGTGTAAAAGTAATTTAGTGCGATAACTCTCGTAGGGTTTTGATCTTAAAAAAAAAGACCATTGTTTGTATGCAAATGTGGTTTATAATTATATACAAAATTACGTCTTATGACTTGAACAAAACGTAATTAATGTGTTTTTGCTATTTCTTTGCAAACATTGTTTGAATTAGAAATAATAGAAAAATATGAGCGAATTTCGTGTCGTCACATTACCATTTTGTGCCATAAAATGATGTCTTCATAAAATTTATGGAGACATGACGTGTTGTAATTTTTAAATAGAACGCACTTTCCCTTTTGCACATTCTTTTTTTTAATTTACCTTAAACCTTCGCGGAAACGTAAGGAGGCATGTGCCTGCCTGTTACTCTACACTTTACCCGTTTTGATGTCATCTATATCGTAACTTGTTTTAATTAATAAAGAAAACTGCCTTTAATATTGATATAACATATTCTCTAGGTGAAGAGGTAGACATTAAATATTTGTGGTAGTCAAGTTCTAGCAATAATCACTAGAGTCAACCAGTGACTGCTTTGGGTAGGTGGTGATGAATTACGGAATTAATTAGTGTACATTACCCATGTGATGGCGGATCAAATGTAATCTGACTTACAATTTCTTCCCAGAGGTAAGAGTCCAACAGAGAGGGAAACTGAGAAAGGCCAGAAAAATTGTATGGCTTCCGATAAACTTCTCGCTTTTATATATATGATAAGAGTGACAAGCGAGCATACAGTCCACCTGAGTTTGCTGTGGCGCATAGACATCTACATCTATTCTCGTTTGCGAATCAAAATACAGATGCGTTGTCAGCCGTGAGGACTAAGATGGAACTTATCTCTAACGTAAAATACCCAGATCTGGGATTGGCGGCAGCGTCACAGGAACCCGCGACGGACTGCAACGTCGTCCGATGCGTTTGGCACTGAGATTTGCCAAACCGCCTTCCAAGCGTTGTGATAATTATGGAAAATCCTTTCTACAAAGGAAAAGACCCATGTCCACGAAATGATGAAGAAAAATAAGAGTCCTTAGACATGGCAACACTATCCACCCGATTACAAGTGGATGTTGGGGCCCATAAATACGTAGTCACCTTTGTAGACTTAGATGGAGCCTTGTTATCAATTTAAAAATTCATCACATAAAACACGACAGCACTATGCTGCTATTTTACGCCATTGCTTGAGAGCCGTTCGCCTGTCGAGACAAACCATTTACTGTAGCCATTTGTAACGTGGCTGTTATAAAAAAAACTTAGAATTAAAAACGTGTAGTATAGATCTCAAAAAATTTAAAACATAGAAATATAAAAAAAGAGTTTCTTTGTTATATCTATGATTTAAAAGATTTAAAAAAAGAAACAGTATTTTTAAGCAGGTACCTAAGTTTGTATAGTACTTTGTTATCTGTTATTATATCATAGATCGCATAACATAAACACAAGATAAATAATAGTACTAACAAAAGTTTCTACTACATTAAATAAGCTGAAGATCGGCCAATGAAAATAATATTAATATATTAAATATTCGTTCGTATCCATTAGAAAAATACATACCTACATTACCATACCATTGAACCAATATACTCTATTACCATACCATTGAACCAATATCTCTACATATTAATTCAATGTACATTACGTAGTCATTATTTATGCAAGCATTGAGAACAGTGTTTTGCCTTTCGCGGGATGTCCAAACATATTTATGACGTCCGAAGACGCTTGTTGAATATCAAAGTTTGTTTACGTACTTGCTTTGTCTGAATTATAGAAGCTAATGTATTAAGTTTGAACTCTTCTAGCATTATAGTAACCAGTTAATGAGATATTAAGTCCCGGTGTGTTTGGGGTCTGAAAGAAATGCTCCGCTCTATCAATCTCACTTTACAGAACTTGTGTTGTAATAAAATGTTACATACTATTTTTATGTTCGGGAGAAAAAAATTGTATAGTTACGATCACCCTTATAATGTATATAAAGTTATAAATATTAATATATATATATATAAACGAGCGCACAGTCTAGCTGATATTAAGTAGATGTTGTAGCCCATTGATATTGACATTTTTATCCTTAATTAAGAATCAAATGCAGATGCGTTGTCACCCCTGAGTACTGAGATGGAATGCCTCGTTTCTAGCAAAAAGGGTTTCCGGTTCTCTATACTCACCATACGAAGAACAGCAGTGTTAAGCTGCTATTTTAGATTGGTATTTTGTGGGAGCTTGGTTCTTCTCGTTGTTCGTGTCGGTTGAGCCGACCCATTCGTGCTACAACTATACTACTAATATAGCTGCAGCGTGGCTCTACCACTTATAAAAACTTCGTTATCACAGCATGGAGGGTACATAAGGGTCAATATCGCGGCACCTTATAAAATATAATATAGCCTTCGATTGACAGCGGAATATCCATATCAGTTATACCTGTATTAAAGATAATCGACCGATGACGGACAGTAGCCCTCTAAGGGTTCCACAGTTCTTGTAAACTCCAATCGACCTTTGATTACTCCAGATATATTCAATTTTACCGGACTATATTGATACTTCGGTGCTAATTGTTGCATGATACACTTGCAATAAGACATTCATCTGTATAAATTTTTAGACACCCTAAAGGATGGGGAATGTTTATCGCGTGATCAGTTGATACCGCTTTTTTCACTTTCATTTCATTGATTCGCCAATCAAACGGTTACTTACTCTGTTTTTCTCTTGCGAAAGTAAAGAACGCAATAGTTTTCAACTTTCAACTGCTCCGCGGTTCAAGCTTATTTACCTGCGTAGTATTTATTACAAATGCTTGTGCGATTATTAGGAGGATGTATTAAACTCTAATATTTAAAAACGTTTCCTTTACAAGGTGGTGTTTTTAAATCGTTTATTCGGAACCATTTATCAATAAATTCCATAGTTATGACTTTCAATTATACGGTATTGTAAAATAAAAAATCTTGCAAGTTTCAACTACAGTATAACTTTTATTTTTTCATGTTCTTACACTTAAAAATGGCGTATATTCGTTCCATTGCTGAACACACATCCTTCTATAAGCGTATGAGAACATTTTTCAAATTTTTTTATAGCAGAGGGGCAAACGATCATGCGGCTCACCTGATGGTAAGTGACTCCGCCGCCCATGAACAGATGAATGTCTGATATCCGTTCGGATGAGAGGTCAGCAGAAGGACCAACAGGGAAGGTACATGATCCTCCAGGTCTGGGATTCGCGTAGGTGAAGTAACCACTTGTGTCAGACCATATGCCAAGGCAAAGTCATAAACATGAGCATGATCGGTTAAACGGGAACCAAGCCATTCGTTCTTGCATCAAGCGTTATGGTGGGCGTTAAAATCACCGAGCATCATGATCTCTGCGGATTTTGTAGCACGGAGTCTGCAGCCATTTGTACGTGGTCGATGAGTCGGTCTGTATGGCATTACCGCTATGGGACCTATAGAGGCACCCGTAGACGCGGGGATGGTCGTCACTGTCTATGGCTCCAAATTATTGTATTATAATTGTGGCTGCTTTTGAGTTAGTTCTATGGTTATCATAATACTTATGATGGGATATAATAAGAATGACTTTTTCTTTCTCTACATTCGATTACTTGATAAAATCTAATGTTGGACTTAATTCTGTGTCTGTCTGACTGGATGTAACCACTTCTAAAGTTAGATTATGACCACGAGATTAACTAACAAATAGTAGTGCTTGCAATACAATTTCTGAAATAGTTACGATTTTTGTAAATTCTACTATTTACCAGGGGCATAACAAAAAGAACCATTGGGGGTAACTGCGACCCCCAGAAAATTAGTGTCCCACCTCCGTGAAAATTTGATAATTGCAACGCATAAGAAAAAATATCTAAAATTTTTCTGGCAGGGCGACAACATGTTTGGTTTTTTTTAACAAGATAATTATATATATGTACATTTAAATTAATTTGATTATCAATCAAGTGGGATGCGGGAAGTAAAGACTGTGTAAGATCCTCCGAAGGAGGCGGAGTTAATAGCCGAAATAAGAATTCTTATTTTTTTGGTTTTTGGCCTTTTTGACCCCCTAGAAGTGTTGATAATTTTTGCCCCTATTCAACCATGACTCCCATGACATCTTCTACATGATGGGCTATTTAAACTGACTAGGCCTAAAATTCGAGTCACCCCCCTTTACTTCCAATTAAATAATACTGAAGTGACAAACGAACTTACAGTTCATAGATTATTTTATATGTTTACTTTAGTAGCGACAGTAGCCTAATGGCAGGATGCTAACCGCGAACTCTAAGGTCATAGGTTCGAATCCGTCATCCGACTACGGTCGTGTTCCTTTCATAATGCAAACATTATTAAGCTTACCAGGGGTGGTTAACATGGATATTTGTAATGTTAATAAGCGTCGCTAGTATTTTACAAAAGTTGTAAAAAATCTGATAAATACACTTTTCGTTTCAGTACCTAAGTGTACTGAACATCCCGATGGTGCGGCACGGAGATAAGTTCATAGCGGGCGCGGCGGCCGGGGTGACGGCCGTCACGCTCACCTACCCCCTGGATACAATTCGCGCGCGGCTCGCCTTCCAGATCACTGGCGAACATCGGTACACCGGCATCGCGCATACCGCCGTCACTATGTTCCGTACGGTAAGTGCTCACTATTTTGTGTTTAAAATAAAAGTGACAAGCGAGCACACAATTTATACTTGATGGTAAGTGAATGCTGTGGTCGATAGACATCTACATTTACCCTCAATTAAGAATTAAAATGCAGATGTGTTGTCACACCTAAAATGGAATGCCTCGTTTCTAGTAAAAAAGTTCAATTCTCTACACCCACAATACGAAACACAGCAGCATTAAGGGAACTACAGGAGCTAAACCCAAGTTTTATAATGCCTTAAAGTATATAATGCACTGCAGTAAACGAAATCAGAAAAATATAATATGATATTTTTCAAGATATATGATAGTTAGGTAGTGTGTTAAAAACATGATACTACTAATTCGATTCGATAGAAAAAAAAACCGGCAAAGTGCGAGTCGGACTCGCGCACGGAGGGTTCCGAACAAATCTGTCTGTTCTTTATCTGTGCTATAAAACGTTACTTCCTACCAAATTTCAAGATTCAGAGTTCACGGGAAGTACCCTGTAAACGGCTGTATGTTTGTTTGTTTTGATTGCGTTGACTTAGAAGTTTGATTTTTTCACAGCTCTAAGGGACAGTAGACTTGAGTATTTGATATGAATTTCAGCTTGATACCTCTACGCGTTCTTGAGAAAAAGGGTCTTGACAGACAGACAGACAGACGGACAACAAAGTGATCCTATAAAGGTTCCGTTTTTTCCTTTTGAGGTACGGAACCCTAAAAATCACAAAGATACCTTTAAAATTGTTCTTTTAACGATTAAAACCATACTAATATACAGCAACATATTATATAACGTAACAGTGTTTTAATTTTTAATATAATCAATAAATCTTTTTTAAATCGCATATTCTTTGTTCTGAACATAAAACGTACGCATGTGTGCGTAAACGCCTGTGTATCGACCGTGCCGAACGAGGCCTATGCTATACAGAAATTGTGTAAATGTGTGCGTGCTTAATTCGAGGTCACTTAGCTCTTGTAGTCCTCTTAAGCTGCTATTTTACGCTGGTATTCTGTGAGAGCGTGGTCTTTCCCCGGTCGTGCTGACCCATTCGTGCTGCTACCATAATATAGCTGCAGCGTGGCTCTACCACGTACAGTTATTTATGGCCCCTACACGGAAACGTTTATTTCCCTTGCAAATAAACTAGTGATCACTACCTCTGTTATGAGTAATATCTTCTTTCCTTATCATCTTTTGGAATCCATTATTTTAAATAAACGCCTATTGGTAGGCATATATTTAATGGTTTGCCCATACCTCACTGAGCAGGTAGGTTGGGACGCGTCACCGACATCTAATCACTGGTGATGCTGCTACCTATTCTTCGGGAGTTAGGTTCAAAGTTTGTGATGTATTAAAGAATTATCCCACTAGCGTTAACAATGAGATATTTTTAATCTACTCACGATAGTCACTGAATCGTTTCTCAAGCGGCCTTTGTGGCCAAAACGACATAATTAACTTCATTACATTAAATTGTTGCATTCAATACGTATCTAAGCGGGCCTAAATTTATTTATTGATCATGACAAAATAAGCACAGGATTTGAAACTAAACATAAACATAAACACTCACGCCTGTCACTTAGAGGGGTAGGCAGAGACTATGGACCCCGTAACACAGGTTTTACCAACCCAGTACACTGCCCCTGCCACTTGTTTGTTACTACCTTTTGAAACGCAATAAACGATTTTTTATTTTGATGGACTTCTATTTGGCACGATCCTGACATACCTACCTCTCTCGCTTCCTCCACATCCATATATCTACGCATACACGCTTGTCGGTTAAAGGTACTCTAGATTTGGCCCATTTTCAATATATCGTCAATTTGGCCGATAAACTTTCGCCTAGGGCGTCCCTTCCCGACTCTGCCGTTCACCTCTGCAACATAAATTTGCTTTGTCATTCTTTGAAACTAAAGTCCCAACTAAAATTACTAAATCCTCGTGAAGTATTTGATATTTTTGAGGGAACCTAAATAGCTGCTAAACAAAGACCGCTCAAAAAGCTTGTTACGGGTAGCGAGACCACTAAGATGTCCGCATCAGCAGAATATTCTGATTGTAGACAAACGGAAACTGCCGAGCTCTTGTGTGGGCTCTCATGCATTAGTTTTTGAGCATAGAATAATCAGTCTTAAGAGAGTTCTTGTAGCGATTAAACATACCTGTAGCTTTTAATTAATAAATTTATTTTATCGAAAGTTAAGAAGTAATCGACAAACAAGTAAAATAATTTATGTGTACACATATGCTTAATTTTGCTTTTTTTTTAGGAGGGCGGTATCCGTGCTCTATATCGCGGCTTCGTACCAACGATGGTGGGCATGATCCCATACGCCGGCTTCAGTTTCTACTGCTTCGAATCTCTCAAGTACCTATGCATGAAGTACTTACCCACTACACTGTGCCGCAAGTGTGAAAGAAACACAGGTCAGTGTCTTTTCACGTATGCCTTTTACAGCAAAGAACAAAAGAGGTCCAAGAACACCTCCTTGCGGGATAAAACAAATTTTAATTATTGTCTTTTACAATAAAATAGCGTCGCAATATTTGTTTAATATCGCATTAATTTAAATAGGGTCAGATATGTGGCGTCAGTCTATGGACAAGTCGACGTTGACTTGATACTGTGATTGTATGAACTGCTTCAACTCAATCCAACCCGTCAGTGTTGACTACACTAAAATCGTGCTCTCAACTCGTGGTCCAACTTTTTAGTGAAACTGCAAATATGGTATTGTTAAATATTCTTGTTGGACCATAGAAATACCGATAAAATTCTTGGTGAAAGAACTGGATATTATCGGAGCACCACTAAAAGTGCATTTACTTTGAAACTTATTATTACATTATTGCCCCATTCGTTCCGTTCCGTAGCCACAAAGGTAGGCCCACAACAGGCTTTCGAAGTACATATTGTAGTTAAAGTGATCACGTTTGCAGACCAAGTATAGTACTTTTAAGTCTAGTACCCAAATGATATAATTAATTGGACTGTACGGCGATATTTTAACTGCCAATCGTCGGTCTAAAATTCTGCCTGGGAAAACGGTCTGGGTATTTAAGGTCATCTATGCGATGCTGTGAGATCTTTCTAGCATATCCAATAGGTGCCTCTTAAAACACTCGAGGATGAAATGAGGTGATGGATTCACTTACGTCGCCATCACACTGCACCTTTTTCATATTTAGTTAGTTTTTGTTACATGTTATTCTATACATAACTCGTAGAAGCTCTTATAAAGCCGTATGATACTTTATTACATAGTAATGTTGTAACCTTTGGTTTCATATTTATATAGCAAACAATTTATGTACACACAAACAACAGAGTTTGTATAAGGGCACTACTTATTATTTAGTACTATTTGGTAGTTTGTACAAAGATATATGATAAAAAAAGTAATATGTTTTGCACTATGTTAATATATAACATTATATAAAGGTAAAATAAATACAATGTCTGTGCACATAATATGTAAATACATTCATACTTATACATATATAGGAAGGTATACTCATAAAAAAATATATAAAATAAATAAATATAATAAATAAAAATAATAATGTCCTCCAGAGCGATTTTCGGTCACGGCGGCGGAAACTTAGCCATCTGCACAGAATACCAGCGTAAAATAGCAGCTTAATGCTGCTGTGTTTCGTATGGTGAGTGTAGAGAAACGGAGACCCTTTTTACTGGAAACGAGGCATTCCATCTTAGCCCTCACGGGTGACAACGCATCTGCATTTTGATTCGTAAGCGAAGATAGATGTAGATGTCTATGGGCCACAGCAACCACTTACCATCAGGTGGACTGTGTGCTCGTTTGTCACCCTATCCTATAAAAAAAATAGGATTATAGTGCCCAAGTGTATGCGCAAGTGCAGGTGCACTCTCTATTCCCTCGTTCTCATAGTCCGATGGGACGGTAATCTAACACGACCGCAGAGAGAACAGACGCAGGACAAACGGTTTTACGAGCTTTCCGAGGCACGGGGGTCAAACACCACTAACTTCCTGACTCTGGACTGCTATTGAGAATTTCTTGGCAGAAAAATCCAACGACTGACTTTGGCCCGATCTGGGATTCGAACTCGAGATCATTGGCAACCGTAGTTTTTATAATTTTGAGATGATATCACGAAAATGCAGCCGATTATTTCCTGTTTTAGTTTCCCTCTGTCGTCTCTTACGACACATATGGGACGATATGAGGTAGTGGATGATAAAAGATGCAAAGGATTACAATTAAATGTTGAAACGGGTCCGCGCATTTGCAGGCGGGCTGGTGCTGACGGTGCCGGGCAAGCTGGTGTGCGGCGGGCTGGCGGGCGCCGCGGCGCAGTCCGTGTCGTACCCGCTCGACGTCACGCGCCGCAGGATGCAGCTCGCCTGCATGGACCCCAACACCGCCAAGTTCGGGTAACCGCTTGCACAACATATCATATGCACCTAATATAACATAAATAACAAAAATATGCGTGCATGTGTTATCAACCAAATGATTTTAAAGTACAGTAGCCTAATATTAGGACCGCGAACTTAGAGGTTGTGGGTTCGAATCCTTCTATCACTACTGGCGTGAACTACACCTTACACAACACAAGCATTTTAAACTTACCGGGAGTGGTTGACGGAAATATTACTAATGTAAATTAACAGCATTGCTAGTATTAAAAAAAAGATAAGTAGGTATATGATAAAAACTATTGAAAGGTAATTGAAAGAGTTATGAGTTATGACTATAGTTTTTGAAATGAAATTCAAAATTGGGTAGGGGAAAAACCACTAATCTCGCGTGATTCTCACGCGTTCTTAACAACCCAAAAAAAAAGTTTACAAATTTGTGAAGCTAAGAAATTTTCACTTCTGACGTGCAGTCCTACGACTAACAGTTTTTTTTATAGGATAATTCTTCTTAATAACTGGCTTTACGGCTCTGGTATCTAGCCCTTCTGAGCCTGAAGTTACAATATATTATAATATCCTTCATAGTATACTGCTTCACAATATGTTGATGCGTCACATTGTGCAGCCCTTGGGAGATTTTGACGGCAACTTGAACCAGCAGACAGCTGACGGTTGGCGATGGTATCTCAAGGCGCCTAAGCAGACAGACACCTTATTTTGAGAATCATATCACCATCAGAACACTTGTTTCACAGTTTCCACTAATAGTTCACATGCGCAGACACTTAATACACAAAATCGCACCACTTTTACATATCAAAGTCCACTTCAAACCATTATTTAAACAATAATACAGGAGCAGCAAACCGCCGCCGGTCAAATTCCCGCCCAAACTCTTTTATACGATAAGGGTTACTTATTGAACAGAGTATTATAAACATAGATTAAGTTAGGTTATGAACAGACAATGTAATAAATAATGTTTCAACATTGAGTTATATGTACTACGTACTAGAGAAGCCATTCCGAACATTGACTATGTTCAACTGAACTGTAGTGCAATCCATACAAACTAAATATTGCGTAAATTGAAGATTTGTGAATTCCATAAAATAATTATTACCTATTACATTTTATTTAGAAATATGTTTGTTTAGATTAAATTAAGATATTTTATATTAAATTCTTATATTTATTTTATATTAATATCTTATTTTATATTAAATTAAAGTCTTCGCGCATGCGCGCCTACTACTCCCGCGCATGCGCGAAGACATAGAGTAAGACACAATTTTTGTTTGGAATGGCTTCTCTAGTACGTAGTACATATAACTCAATGTTTTTCAAGTTTAAACCAGTATTAATTACGTAGACCAATTTGACTTCTCTTCTTCTTCTCATTATTCATATTGCCCGGGCATTATAAACAGTGCCCTGATTAATCACTTTGTTCATAACACATGCAATAAAAACTAAAATTGTGCGGGGACCGTGCATTAGCTTTAACATTGTATTTAATATTATAAATGTACACTGTCTTATTACAAAAACATTGTATTTAGATTTGTTATTAGTCTCGAATTTAAACTATAGTTCGTTGATAATGAAGTCCCGTGAAAAAAACTGCGAACTGTGTAAAGTATGGAATTTGACGACTAATGTAAAATTTCACGAGGACTGTCATGTTGAGGCTGAGCGATTTCTTTCGTTAGAAAGACTCTTCTACCATATTATGCGATTCAAATAAGAATAGGACTGACCTGGCGCCATATTGTGACCTCATAGCTATCAATTCATACCAGTTAGGTAGGGTGAGCAAAAGAGATATACGAGGGGTGATCCAAAAGTAATGATAATCGGTTACTTCAGGTCCGCATAAAAATCCAAAAAATATATTTTTTGCTTACTTATATACTCACTACGTCAGCCTAAAATAATCATATAAATAGATCACGATTTCCTGGAGATACATTCATTTGAATACGAACTGTCAAAGAGATAACATCAACATGGAGAAAAACGTAATTAGAGCTGTCATCAAGTACCTCTGTTTGAAAAAAATGTCTTCAAAAGACATACACAGTGACTTAGTGGAAACATTGGGGGACTCTGCTCCTCCATATTCTACAGTTGCACGCTGGGCCAAGGAGTTTAAACTGGGCAGAACATCCACTGAAGATGAACATCGCGAAAGACGCCCATCCACGTCCCTCACTGAAGACAACGTGAAAAAAGTCGAGTTGGCAGATCGAAGAGTGACCATCAGGCATGTAGCTGAGGTCACAGGGATCTCATATGGCAGCGTTCAAAGAATCCTTGCGAACGAGTTGCATATGAAAAAGGTCTCTGCGCGTTGGGTACCCAGAATGTTAACCGACGAGCAAAAGAAAAATCGAGTTGACATTTCGAGATGATCAAGAAAATTTTTTGTTCCGTTTTGTGACTATGGACGAGACCTGAATCCACCATTTTGATCCTGAATCGAAACAACAATCGATGACTTGGAAGCGAGCCTCCTCACCGACGCCAAAGAAATTCAAAGTTTCAAGTTCGGCGGGAAAGGTTATGGCATCTGTTTTTTGGGACGCTCAAGGCATAATTATGGTGGAATATTTGGAAAAGGGAGCCACTATTACGGGGTCTAACTACGCAGACCGAATAAGAAGATTCCGGGAGGCCATTAAGGAAAAAAGACGCGGCAAACTCCGAGCTGGAGTGCTGTTTCACAAAGACAACGCACCGCCTCACAAAGCCGCAGTTGCGATGGCTGCCATTATAGAAACGGGATTCGAACTGCTCGAACACCCTCCCTATTCGCCAGATCTAGCTCCTAGTGATTTCTACCTCTTTCCTCGGCTCAAGGAACGCCTCCAAGGCAAGAAATTCGAAGACGATAGCGAAGTAATGGCCGCTGTTGAAGCGTTTTGGGAGGGTCAAGACAAATATTTTTTTTCAGAGAATCCTGGGTTTAGAAAAAAGATGGACTAAATGTATTGATTTTTTAGGAGACTATGTAGAAAAATAAATTATTATTTTAACTTTAATTACCGTGTTTTATTTTCATTATCATTACTTTTGGATCACCCCTCGTATTCTACTACGCTTTCATTTCGAGTTTGCCGTCGTCGACCGTTACGACGTCACAGCTGACGGTACCGTAGACGAAAAAAGTCATCATGTTTATGTATTTTAGTATTCATATTTTCAATAAAGTTAAATAATAACGTGTTCGATAAAATAAAATATTTTTTGTATGATAATGATGATGATGATGAAATAATAACGTGTTCGATAAAATAAAATATTTTTTTTATAGTTTTATTTTACATTTTAAATATTTCAAATTAAAAATTTTCGAAATCGCTCATTTCTGTGTCACTGTCATCACTCCATTCTGTGTCACTGTCATCAGTCTTTCCGCCCACCGAAATAATCAATTCTCTTTCGTTGAGTTTTTGTAAACGGTCAACGTGGTTTACCTCTTTTTTCCAGTCCTCTACAGAGATAATATTAATAGCTTCCAGAGTGAGTTATTGTATTTCTTTTTCAGACTGGCTTACATTTTTATCGGCTACTTTTTGCTTCACTAGATTCCACACGTACGCGATGTGATTCAAATCACATTGGTCCGGTGGTAGGCGTAAGACTTCGTGTCCATGACTTTGGACAGTCTCGTCAATTTCATATTTTTTGGTAGGTTTCGAACGACATACTACATAGTATAATTCTCGCTTCGTCATCTTTGGGTCAAAAGATATACCATTTTCCTGCAACCTGACGTTGCTATCGGTACTAACAGGGCGACGCTTGAGGCGCGGAATGAGGGGGCGCGGCGGGAGGTAACGGCATTCTTGAAGTGAACGACTAGTAAATAATATTTATTTACAAAAGAATCATTAATGAAAAAGTATTAATCTAAAGCAGCATTTCGATTTCGATCATCATTGTCTGAGTAGTCATCATTATGAAAATGATGATTTATCATCACTGCTGCTTTCCTTTGTAAAAATAGAACATGGATTATTTATGTAGGTGTTTAAAGTATTCCACCAACCAGTATCAGTAATAAAATAATGTATAAAAATAATTATGAGTTCAATAGATTTGGTAATACTAAGACTAGTTAAACAAATCGGAAAAAAAACGTTATTAATACGCAAATTAATTTTCTATGCAAGCCGTACTTTTCAATTGACAGTTGACAGTATGCGGTCATTCGTGGTCATTGACGTTCCTATTGTTATATGAATCGCATTTGTGGTTTAAAACCGCGACTATTAATAAACTACGTTTTGTTATAAGGCCGGCAATGTTTGGTACTTCCCATTTGGTGACTATAATAACTGCAGAACCGAAAACAGAAAAATTCTGCAACATTTATAGTCCTCATTGCCGTGTTTGGCTACGGCGACTAATTTGAACGATAGTCATGTTCCAGGTTTTGGTAGGCTTTATTTTTTGTATGGCCAGCGAAGCTCTTATATGACAAGCGTCACGCACATGCACACATAAACATATACGCACGCATGCACGAGCACACATACTTTATCATTTTTAAATCAGAAGAATCTTTAGAAGATAAAGATACGTTGAAATTTATACTTTCAAATATGCGAGCCTTACACGAACTCATAAATGGGAAGTTAATAGTAATTGAGTCTATTGTTAAATAATTGTATGTAATATTAAATCATTTGTTCTCTCTACACAAATAGTACTTTTAAAGTTAACAATTTGCCAAATTAGATTCTAGCTTTGTGAGACTGATGCCTGATGTAGATTATTGTGAAAAAATTTATGTACAGGTCTACAATATCCTTTCTTATTGCGTAATGACAGCAATGCACGATCTTTTACGACTTGTAATTATAATGCACTTAGCATGAGGACGAGCATGAGTAGTTTGGTAGTAAATATGAATATTTTATTACATATACATTTATTTATATTTCCATAATAACCTTTACCATACTTTATCATATCATCCATGTCACAATTAAATTTTGCCTGATATTTTCCGGTCTTGCGTCATTTTGTGTCATGACAGACAATAATATAACAATGTGTTTCCCAATTTTACACCTTTATCTTTAATACATGAAATTGATGTCTTTCGCTTTTTTGGTATTTTCGCATGCCTACCACACTAAATTTGCGATTGGTGATTGTGGTAATTACCTTTTAACTTTTTCTTAAGAATACCATAAAATTTTAAAACATTTCCTCTGAATTATTGTGGATAATTTGAAGAAATTCATAAGTAATATAGATATATAAAGATATATTGTATATTTTTAAATAAAAAGTTCTTTAGGCACGTTGGGCACTCAACTGGCGTGACCGTCACGCTCAGATACATAAAATTAATATGTATTTATAAATTTGTTTGTATTATATAGGTAGATAATAATCATTATTTTTCAAGTAAAACAGCGCAATAAATTCAAATTTTATTACTATATTAATACGTTGATGAAAATAATTTGTAATAAAAAATACATCCTAAAAAATATTTACAACCTTAACAACCCAAAAAAAAATGTTTGTGAACCTAAGAAGTTGAGACTGACAATTTTTTCATATTGCATTTGTCGGCGATTCTTTTTTGCACATTTCTGTCATGCACTGCTATCGTCCGTCAGTCTGCTAAGCGTGACTATTTAGGAAAACTCTTCCTGCAACGGGAAACAGGACAGGCCAATGTCCTGCAGTGGACTTTTATGAGCTGATAAAGAAATGAAAAAGATATATCTGTCAATTACAAAATATGCTTAACTCGTACCTTAACTAACCATACTAATCTAATTATTTTATTACATAATTCTTGCATGTGGTGTTGGCATCAATAACAGAAGGTTGGTTTTTTTTTGTTCTTTTTTTATATTTATGCTATATTCAGAATATAATTTGTTCAGCGATTTGAATTTTTAGCATTTGTAATTTTAATGGCATTTTCATTTTGTCTAGTTTGTCTGTCTGTAAGTGTCACAGCATATTGGTTGTGGAGCTTACCGAGTTAGAGTATGTTTTTAATATTTTTTCACCTATGAAAAGCCAGATGCTATTACCCCATCTGATGTTAAGTGATGAAGTAGTTCATTTAAATGATACAGCACCATGATTTAGTGTAACTAAAGCTTATTTACTTTAGCCTTTAAACACCCACATTAAATATGCATGATTGCATGATGCTACAAGTTATTCAACATTTTTGTTGTATACATTACGAATCAGGTAGCAATTACATTATAACACGTGAATTAAAATGTAGTTCCTTTCCATTATCCATATCGGTGTATTTTATACACAACACGCAAAAATCATCTTGAAACTTGGGCGGAATGTGCTTCCCCCTTAATAAGGAGCCAGTAAGTTCTGACGTCACCCAAGCCAGGTCTCAAGTTAATTTCTGCACGTAGTTCATCAGTAGGTACCACCAGGTCTTAACATCATATTAACGTACTAAAATTGAACATAGGCCTCCTCCTCCCCCCTGTCCAAGGAATGCCACATAACACGGGACTGAGCCACCTACATTCATCGACTGTCCTTGTGTCTTACGAGGTCATTACGTGAATCTAGCTCCATAGCCCTAATGCAAAGAGCCCTGTGCTCGGGTGTAAGACTTGCGTAGGTTGTTACTTTTATTTTCATATAGAAGAGTACAGTTTCAAAGTTGAAATATACACAGTTTATAAAATGGTTCAACTATATAATATTGACCCATTTTACATGCGTGGCAACAATGGAAAGACCGTCTATGAGACAATCTATGGGGGAGGCCTATGTTCAGCAGCGAACTTTTGGTATGTTGTAGCGATTATGGTGCCTAGTGACAGAATTAGCTTTCCACTCAAAAATCCACAACTACCTTCATTCTTTGACTATTTAAATCAACAATAATTATAATATATTGTATATGTGCAAAATTTTCTTCCAGTGCGGGAATGATCAAAACACTTACCCTAATATACCGCGAGAACGGAATAACGAAGGGTTTGTATCGGGGGATGAGCATCAACTACCTCAGAGCGATACCCATGGTGGCCACTTCCTTCTCCACTTATGAACTCATGAAGCAACTTCTTCACTTGGACACCGGCATGAAGGTCGCGTAAAAATAAAGTAACCTGAGCTTGGCGATACATTGCTTGCTGTTTCAGATGTTGGTTTTATTATACCAATTTCTACCAAAGCAGTAAAGTACTAAAGTATTTTTATTAATTATAATGGTATTATAAAAGGTAAAATTTTTGTAGGTTATCTTTTAATTTCGACCAACATTTAATATTTGAATTACATACGATAATGAATTGCTTAAAATGAACCTTGCATCCTAATTTTATTTTTTTACTTGTTATTAGTCAATTCTTGACTACTATCTTGGAGCGCATTTACCACTAATGACAGTATTTCACAGAATATTCCGCCTCACCACCTATTTCAAACATTCCCTAGGTGAGTGTATTTGGATAAATATAATGTACAATTTGATAATTTACCGAAAATTATTGATTTGATTTCATTTTAAACTATACAGTGGTAGAGCCACGCGGCAGCTTTTGCCGTCGCACGGATGGGCCGGCTCGAACCGGGGTGGTACCACGATCTCACAGAAAACCAGCGTGAAGTAGAGGTTTACCTCTGCGTTTCGCTTGGTGAGTGCAGGTGGCCGGAGGCCCTTTTTACTGGAAATGAGGCATTCCATCTTAGTCCTCACGGGTGACAACGCATCTACTCTATATTGATTTGTAATAGAGGATAGATGTAGATGTCTATGGGCCACGACGGCCACTTACCATCGGGTGGACTGTGTGCTCGTTTGTCACCCTTATCCTATAAAAAAAAACATATTATTTTCAAATCTGAACATCAATTGTGTATAAATTCATTTCAAATGTTGCTTGTGGTTGAATGATTAAAAATTGATAATTAATGTTTAATTATTAATTAAATGAACTGCATATCGACTATTGTCTAATTGTCAACGGTGGTGTGTAGTTTTAGATAGGTAATATTTTTAACGGACTGATGAGATGACAATGTTTAAATTGTAAGACTTGAGAATTATATTGCGTAATGTAAGACGAAATGTTTCTCTCAATCTACTACGGTTGTTATATTTCATATTAGTAAAACTATTGTGCATTCCTCAGTTTTCTACTGGAAGTAAACATTATGCAAGATACTAATCTGATAGAGCAATTATTGTCGCGATAAAACGATATTTTTTTTTGTTATTTATTTTTGATATTTGTATTATTTATGGTATAGCGTAAGTTTATTTAATAACAAGTCAATTTGTATGTTGTGTTTAGTAAAATTCATTTAGAACGGGTATTAATTGGTGTTGGTTGCTCCATGACGTTAAATACGAACTTACCAAAGTGGTAACAATTGTCATGTTACATTGTTTTATACTTACTTCTTCTTGTTTCATTTTAGTATTTGGTATATCACTAAGTTTCTAAAAATATAATCATTTTACACCACAACTTTGTAACATTTAAATATAGAAATATTCGTTTATGTCTTGTAACGATTAATACAAATATCAACATGATTTTTGTAATCAGATCTGGACTCAATGATTATGACAATTATTATAATCTGGTGTGACGGGATTATGAAGGGGGTTATTTGTGTAAGAAGCTGTGCTATTTGTATTTATTAAAAATAAATATTTTGGATTAACTCGTGTCTTTATTTACGCAAGCCATTATAAATAACGTGATACGACGCCAAGCTGCAACTATGTTATGGCTGTGGCTCGAATGAGCCCGCTCCGCTAGACATGTGTCAATCGTGAATGACTGACCCGGGTCGCATCAAAATATTGATGATTGCAATTAAATTTTTTGAACGTTCCGGATCAAACGATTGACAGGATCTACGACCAAAGAGTATAGGAATGTCCGTCTCACACACGACCTCTATATGTACAAGTATGCTGGACTGACTATACCCGGCCTTTCAGGCCGCGAGCCCTGTGTCAAATGAAGGTTATGAAGTTGTAAGAGCCGCATAGACTACCGGCGCAAACATCACAGAGAATAGATAAATAGATGGCTATGTTTGTGCCGATTTGAAGCTCCGACATTATTCGTACCGGGAACTAAAATTGATATAACATGCCTAAGTTTGTTGTGTTGTTTAAATCGTATCTCTGTATTTTAAACGATAAATTGAAAGTATTTTGTGTAGTTTGAATATGTTTGATTTTAGTAATATAATAATGGATTATTTTTAATAATAATGAGTGTGCGTAATTTGTAAACTCGTTACCAAAAGGAAAGTGGGTTAACATTCCACAAGTGAATTTACAGCTAATATAAAAGAAAAACTATTTGATAATATAGGTACTTAAAAATTTGTTACTAATCATACACAACATTTTTGGCTTTATATTACTGAGTTTTCATAAACAATAAATTCAGTAAGGTTGTCGAGTTCCTTGTCTATAATAGTTAGGTATCGATGTAATTTTCTACCCATATCTGTTAACAACCTAACTCGCCGACAACAGATAGTTATAAAATGTTGCTGTTGTTATTGATTCACAAACCTTAGAGCGTAGATGCACAGACCGCGGCCCGCCGGTCGAATACTGGTGGCCCGCCGACAGCAAAAATAATACTCTCGTACATTCTAAAAATATTGAATTATATTCCAGAATAAAACCAAAAAAATATGTTCGAAAAGTAATTTACATCTCGCGCGCGCGCTCTTAAGGCGCAGGTTGAGCAAAATGTCGCGCCAGTCGTTATTTGGGCGGTTTTTAGAAGCTATCTACTTTTTATTTAAAAGATATATCAACAAATAAAAAACACATTATATTTCTACATAATCTTGATTCCATAAAAGCTATATCCAATTTTTTTTTAAAGGAATACATATTAATATAATCTCCTTACAACGAAACCACATAAATGTGAAATTATTATTGATAACATGCATCTCCTCGTAAAGTAAGTATTATTTTGTTTTGCGATTTACACCAATGGATAGGCAATTTATTAATGAACATTTCTATAGTAAAATTTTTTTCAAAAGACCAAAATTTGATTTTATTAAGAAATTATTTTAAAATCTGGGCGTATATACTGCTCACGGGCTTGATGAAGTCAGTGAGCGCTGAGCTCTTCGACGGGAAGCCCGTGTCGTTAGAGCGTCGACCGACGCATACGCCACGTCATATGAGTCGATAATATTATTACTTATTAGGTTATTTATAGGTAGTATTATTTGTTTGTTTTGGGTATAATTTTTCGTATTAGTTATACATATATTTGTTGTGTTTTTTACTGCGCGATGAAGATTTTTGCGTGTATTTTCTTTGAAGTAAATACAAATAAAAAAATGAAGCACCATTAGCATGTAAGGTTCGAATCCATAATTAAAATTTCGACAAATATTATAATTTACATTACACTATAAAAGGCTAATTCAATATTATCACCCAACCACAATATCTTATCAGGTATACTACTGCCTCGTTGGTCTAGTGGTTGTAGTAGTGCGACTGCTGATCATGAGGTCCCGGGTTCGAATCCTGGGTTGGGCCAAAAAGTCAGTTATGAGTTTTTCATTTATGTTCTAAGTTATAATTAGTATTACCAAGTTATAGTTTTTTGCTAAAATATAGTATATGATTTATTGCTTGTTTTTTCTTCTTTTTCAAAAAATAATTGAGTACATAAGGTGTTCTATACTTATATCTCGGTAAAAAGTACTAATATACCTACTTTTTACTATAAACTAAAAAAATTTAAAACTAAATTTAACTAAAAAGACTAAGCTGACCATTTATTTTTTAACTCATAACAGGACATGGGTTTATTTATACTCTAAAAACTATAACTTTATACAATTAGTGTTCACTATAAAATTATATTCGGTATAGACGGTAATTATTAAATGCAACATATTTTTTTTAATTATTAATTACATTTGTCAGTGGATTAAATTTGCTTTAATAAAGTTGGTGATGATTTTAAATAAGAATAAAATTCTGCTCAAGTTTTTTATTGTTATCTTTGTTAACAACATCGCCTTTAGAACTCTGGAACCGTAAGTGTTTCTTTCAGACGTCCACAATTTATGCAAAATAAAAAAATACTCTTTCTACCGGAGCATTCGTACCAGGTAGACATAAAATATATTCGATTAAAAAAAATTATGTTGAAGATTGTTGACTTTGAATACTTCCATCCAACGTGTTACGGGACAATTTTGTGTCCCGGTGCTTTGTTTGGGGACAATGGGACAGGAGACCGAGAAAAGGGACAGTCCCGTTCAAAACGGGACGTATGGTCACTTTAGCTATAACCCGGCGACCATGAAGCAAATACAAAGTTAGTCTTTGTATTAGCTTCATGGTGGCGCAGTGGCTTAGCAATCAGTTGTTGCGCTGGGGGCCGCGGGTTCGAATCCCGCATGGAACAAGATTTGTATGGCCTACAAATAATTGTTCCGGGTCTGGATGTTTGTCTTTGTGCAATTTATGTTTGTAAACTGCCTCCACGACACAGGAGAAAATCCTAGTGTGGGTGTAATGTTTTTTTACAACTGAAATTGAAAGATTGAACCCTTATACTTCTTGTTGATTTTTGTATTTATATATTTTTTATTGCACCAAATATTTGTACAAAAGCCGAGTTATCTATTTATTTACCTATAGTGAATAGGTATCTTTTAAACTCACAATTTTCAATGCTTCCGTTTATATAATTAATTATAAAATTTCATAATTAGATAATATATGAAAATACATAATTCTAATATAATGCAACTAATATATACAGAATAAAAAAATTAAAATACATTTATCTTTGTACGCTATGTGTATTTCCATAAAACAGTTTATTGATGTTGAAAAAATAATACTACTTTCGTACAATAGGTGGCGTCTTACATATTTCTTCCGGCGAGCCGCTCGCTACAATATACTCGTATTAATATTGTAGCGAACGGCGCGCCGGTCAAATGCTCAAGGTCGTTCGCATGGAGTAGCCCCTTAAGTGCGCTTATCGGTGCGCCGTGCATGCGTCGGTAACAGCGGTCGGTAATGTTCGTGCTGATCTCGGTTAAATTCGTTTTCTTGAGGAACCGCCGCGGC